CTTTATTAAAAACCTTGTTTTGTCTAAAAACCCAACTAAGATCTTTTAATCTTAAAAAAAGAAAAATAAGTATTTCCGTTAAAAACTGTTTCTATTTAGCAGTTTAAAATTTAGAAAAGGCTTTTTTTTCTTTACCTAGTTCAAAAAGTCGTTATTAAGTTAGCTCTTTTTAAATTAGAGATTATTAGAGATTATTTTTGAAGTTAGCTTTCTAGCACCTCTTCAAAGCTAGAAACGATGTTTGTTAAGGATAGTTACTTGTATAATATTACGTTTTCAAAAAGTACTATAAACTATATAAATAAGTTATCCGGTCAATTGATTTGCATTAGCCAATCAGACGAATTTCTGCCTATGACTAAATAATACTATTATAACTTATACTAGATTTAAAAAATTATATAACAAATATAGTATAATATTTAGTATTACAATTCAAACCAAAAAATGCAATCAATTAGTTGGCCAAAAAAATTTTTAAAAATCAATTAAAAAATCGATTATAGCCAACTAATTGATTAATTGATTAGTTAATTAATTAATTAACTAACTAATCGACTAGTTGGTATATAAAAATAGCTTGGATATAAGATCAAGATATGATATATATTATATACTATAAAACAACTAGTTAATTAGTCAACTAATTGATTAACTAACTAGTTGATTAATCAGTTAATTGATTAATTATCAACAACCAATTAGTTGTCTAATAAAATTATTAATCAATTAGTTGCCAATTCAATTAATTAATCAATTAATTGATTTTTGATTTAGAATACTAATAATATCTGTATATTTCTATTGTAAAACTTTGTTTTAATATATAAATTTTTTTTTTAACTTTATAACTATTTTAGATAACTTTTTAATTAGTAATACTATTATGTAAAGTAGCATTATATTTGTTAATAAACAAATATATAGTTACAATCTACTGGTTATTCAAATTTGAAAGAAGTAAACAATGCTAATCTTTTGATAGAAGTAAGCTGTTTTGCCTATTTTTTGTTGAAATTTTTGTAATAAAAAGTGAATAAAATAAAAATATTCTATTTTTTTTTAAATAAGTATAGTTTTTCTTGCTAAATATAATATCATTATATAAATCTAGTAAAGTGCTAAATATTTTTAGTAAGTAATATACTCTAAACTGATTAACAAGTAGCATATAAGAACTACAATACACCTTCTCAAATCTGATATGTATGATAAATAACTTTTGTATTGGTTTTAAGAAGTTATTGGATTTAAAATACTAATAACCTGTTGTCATATAATCAGAACTAAATATAATTGGCTGGATTATATTTCTTATATATATAATCTGTTATACAAAATCCGATCTGAGCCAATCAAATCGATTTATAGTATCTGTTAAAACTGATATCTTATAGATATCTAATATTGTTGGTATCAGTTATTAGAAATAGCAAGTTATCAGATTTTAATTATAGAATAGACATGGTGGATCAATTTTTTATTGGTTATAGCAGGTTATTGGTTTTGACAGGATCGGTTTTGGAAGGGTGTACTGTACTTCTAAATAACAAGTACCATGCTTATAATAAATAATAAACTCTAAATCTGTTAGCAGATAGTATATAAGAACTATTTCTAAATAACAGATTCTATCTTATAAATTCTAAATTTTATTTCTCTTTGGTTTGGCTAACTCTATTGTATTTTTACAAAAAAATTTTTTAAAAATTTTGAAGCAAATAATTATTAGAAAGAGTTGATTTTGTATACATTCTTGAGAAATTAAAACTGCAAACAATTTTTTCAACAAAATTATCTATAGTTTTTAAGCAATTTCTCAAAAACTACTAATCCAAATTGCATAAAATTTAATATGTTTTAATAAAAATTTTGGCTTATTTGGATTAGTAGTTGTTGAGAAATTACTGTATAGCATATTAATATAAAAATTATAAAAAATAAGCCATTTTTAATACAGCAAAACAAATACAAAAATACTAATCTTGAAATATTTTAAATATACATTTTAATATAACTAATGTTTTTTTAACCTTTAATTCAAATAATTTAAAAAAATTAGATTTAGTACGTACTATATACAACTAATACAATATATATTCTTTTTTTAAAAATTAAACTAATAATCTAATTAGTATATTGGGAGTTTCAAAATTAAAATCGGTGGATCTTATTTTATTTTTCCGATTTATAATTCAACATAGTAAAAATACTGTTGAAAAAGTCCTATTTATTTTCAAAATGTATCACTTATTTGATAATTTTGAAACCCCATTAGTTCAATATTAGATATAAATTACAATTTTTAAAATAACTATTAAAACATTTACTTAGCCTCCCTTATAAAATAATACAGTTCAATTGCGATATAATAATAATAACTCAAAAATTGCAAGAGCAACATATCTATGCAACGCATTAGATTATACATCACAAATTTAGAATCATTGAATAGTCAAGTTATTAAAATACTGTCATTTTTTTACGGCCTTTTGCCTTATCAATCCCATTCTGGATTTCCTGTTCTTTCCTTTTCAATGCTTGCCATGTTACTTCAATTTGACTAATTTTTTCTCTAAAATGTTTAGCCATTGTGGGATCCTTCTTTTCATTTCTTTGCAATGATTCCTTAGCCTTTTGAAGTTCTCTATTGGTTTGGTTTAATTGTTGTTGTATCTGGTATAATGCTATGTTGTGATTAGTTTCAGAGGAATTGCGAGGGCGTTGAGATACGTGAGTGCTCTGATTTCCACCACCTTTGTTAAGAGATGAATTCAGGTAGTCAAAAACAGTTGGATGTTGTAATTCAAAAATTTCAACACTATTGGATGAATCAACCTTTGTTGCATTTCGTTTGCGAGATCTACGGCGTTTTGATTGAATCGACGGGTCATGGGATTTACGATTTTTGTGTCGATGAGGACCAGTTTTTTCTTGTCCATCGATGTAATCCAATGATATTACTTTATCATAGATCTTCACTTCAATAGGATCTATTATGCCATTACTATTCTTACCCAATCCTTCACCCTTGATTGAAAAAAAGAATTAGTTTTACGGGCATATTCTAAAATGACTCAATAAGAAAAATAGGAATTTAAATACCATTTTGTAACCCATTTTGGCCATAAGCTTGGATGCAATACCTTTAGTATGTTTCTCCCATTCTGCGAAACGAATTTCATCATTAGATGAATCGAATATATGAATGTCTTCAAAATCTTTAGGTTCTTTGGACGGTAAGTCAATATCATCACTAAAACTATCACTTTCGTAATTGGAGTAATCGCTTTGACTAGAATTGTCACCCCCATTGTCTTCATTATCATCTTCCATATCATGAAGTCCTCGTACTGGTATTATCTCATCGGGGCCTACCACTATCCCGTGAGGATGTTCATTCTCATATCCTTTATAAATCACTCTAAAGCCATGGCCACCAGCTTCGATACCAACAAGCTTTGCCATATACCATACGTCATTTTCATATTTAGCCCAGCAACTACTTCCAACTTTATATGCATCTATTTGACCAATATGGAGCAATTCATACGGAGCAACAAGATCTGATGAAATTTCTTCACCATGAGAATATCCGCGAGGACATGGCGATACACATTGATTAGATAAATATTTTTTACACACACGAGTGGATGGAGTAATAGGCGTCAATATCAAAATATTACGAGTGTTGGCATCAGAATTAATGCTTTGTATTAATCCGGGAAGGAAATAGACTTTTTGATATTCCGGATGAGTAAATGGAATGCAACATTTGTCACCAATCTGTAAGGAATCCGTATCGGTATTGGAGTTGATGAAATTCTCTTCAGTATACGTCTGTATGTCACTTTGAGTTTCGATCTTGAGTCCAAAGAGTAAAAAGACGGAATAGGATAATCTGTACCCAGTTTGTTGATTTTCTATATGCAGCATAAAATATCTAACCAATCGAATTTGTTGTATAAATTTAGAAAAACAACTTTTCCTAAGTCGCGTCAATTTTTCTAGAAATTTAAACGAAGACATCCAAAACCAAATTCAACGAAAATTTTTTTATTTGAATTCCACGAATCTATAGAATCCAATAAATTCTTTTTTCAAAATTTGATCCGGAGGTTGTCAAGATATATTTGTACAAAGTTTTTAAAAAAACCAAACCCTATTAAATAGAAGCTGTCAAAATTTCTAAATCTTTGAGGAAAGATATCTCGACAACCACCTGACGCAAAAGTGCTATTCTTATTTGCACTGTTCTTGATAAGGATCTAAAAAAACTGATTTTACCTCATATACTTTACTATAGTAATTAGTGTTTTAGAAGTTTTTTAGAGCCTTATCAAGAACAGAATGTAAATTAACCTTTGTTTCTTACCCATCAGAAGTGTACCGACAAGCGGTATTTTTGCCCACCTGACCAATTCGACAGAAATTTTTTTTTTTTGCTCTATAAATCTAGTTCAAATAAAATAAATTTCATTGAATTTGATCAGGTAGTTGTCGAGGTATCTTGGCTTAAAGTTTCAGATAAAATTTGGCGTAACTTCTATTTTGTAGATGCGTTTGGAACTTTAAGTGAAAATACTCTGACAACCACCCGATCAAATTTGATGAAAATTTTATTTCTTTTAAAACATAGATGGTTATTGAAATATGGGAGCTTGTCAATAGAAAAGGTATAAAAAGTTTCTATGTAAAAATTTTCTAACTTTTAAATTAAAATATCTTAGCAATTACTAATCTAAATTTAATAAATTTTTTTTTATTTTAATTCTATATAAATATAAAATTAAAATAAAAAAATTTTTATTAATTTGATTTAATAGTTATTGAAGTATTTTATTTAAATTTTTAAAAAAGTCACTAAAGCCTTTTCTACTGACGAGCTCCCATATTTTTGTATAAATTTCTAGAAAAATTGACGCGACTTGGTAATCCTAAACACAACAAAGTTGATTGGTTAGATATTTTATGCTACACATAAAAAAATCAACCAACCGGGACACAGATTCTCCTATTGCCAAAAACGAGTGAAATTTAGTTGGTCGAAATCCAGTTTTTTATATTCATATCGACCATATAGACATGAACCTCACCGTGTTTCCTATGTCGTCGTGTAAAGTTTCTGCTGGACAGCCAATAAGTGCGAGTAGGTCTTTTTTTTTCGATAGTAATAACTGTTGCCGTTGAACCTCCATCATACTTTGTAAATCTTCAGCAAGATTTTTCAATTCCGGATCTTCCGGGCTAAGGACCAAGAGTTCCCTAATCTCATGTAAGGATTCTTCATTTTCCTTAAGAGATCGTTCAATTTCTGTGGTCGACAAATTAGTTTGCACCGACATGTTCGTTTGGAATATAACTTCTAAACTTCCAGACGCGACGAATAAGAATAAAAATTAAAAATTAACGTTAAACTAACACCAATAATTATTGTGTGTGATTGTAAGCCATATACATACATGCCGATGGCTTGGTGAAACGGTTGATCTCAATATAAATATCCCGCCCGTATTTAACGTTAAAATTTATTTCGATTTTTTAACGCATTACCCACGCTCACTTCTGCCGTTAAATCAACTTTCGGGTCATTCATTCAGCCAACATATTTTACTCATTAAATAACCATAAATATAATGGATAGAGCCAAGAAAGTAGTTAACGAAAAACATGAACGCATCTTGCTTGAATTGACGAAACAACCAGGGAATGATTCCTGTGCCGATTGTGGTGTTAAAGGTAATGCACGTTAACATTCTACATTAACTGGCTTGCAGATAACACAAATAACCTTTAGTTATCAGCAATACATGAATAAATTTAAATTGATTAATAAGTAACTTTTCATAAAAAAAATTATAGGGCCACGTTGGGCGTCTCATAATCTTGGCATTTTCCTTTGTATTCGCTGTGGTGGCTTACATCGTAAAATGGGGACTCATATTTCCAAAGTGAAATCGATATCATTAGACTCATGGACACCGGAACAAATAGAAGTAAATCAGATCAATTGATATTTTTTCCAATTGATTTGATTTGATTTGATTTAATTTAATTTTATTTTTATAGAACATGCGACAATGGGGTAATTTGAAAGCTAATGCTAAATGGAACCCACATCCAGAATTACACCCAGTGCCGTTTAATACATCCGATAGGTAAATTTATTAGTTAAAGTCATATACATCTTTGACACTTATATTTTACGTGTCTTTAAATTATAGTGAGATGGAAAAATACATTCGTAATAAATATGAAAAGCAATCTTTTTGCAATAATTCGAATAAGGTAGCGTCTAATTTTACGGATTTAACATATTTAAAAAAATTTTTTTTTTTACTAAATAAATGAATTTTATTCAATAAATTATTTAGTCAGTTCAACACAGTCCGTCACCTGCGCCAACAACTCCACCTAAACGTAAAACCATTGATTCCTCTCCAAAATATGTGGATCGAGGAATTAATGATGCTGTGTTACGTCAACTTAAAGATATGGGTTTTACAGATATTGTTAAAAACAGAGAAGTTTTGTCTACAACAAACGGAGATCTCAATTCTGCAATTGAAATATTATGTCGTCTATCTACTGGAAACTCAACCTCCAATGAATTGGTTCGTTCTTCCACGAATTCAAGTACATCTAACGACGATAAATTAGTCCAATTATGGAATATGGGATTTCACGATGAGGCAAAAAATCGTGATGCTCTTCGACGTACTGGTGGTAATATAGAGGTAGCTGCTGCATTACTTATTGAATCCCGCACATCTGTAGCAACAAACAATACCAATTCTATTACTAAGCCTCAGTCAGAACAACGCAAACCACAGTTGACACAAAGTCAATCACTTATAGATTCAACACCTTCACTACAAAATTCGACACAATCGCAAAATCTTGTAGATCTTTCAGATGGATTTGGTCAGTCAACTCAGGGACCAGGTTTGTTATCACTATCATTGCGATATTTGTAGCAAGTTCTTGACAGTATCAATTCTAACGATTTATTCAATATTTATGATAATATTTTCATAAGGCATGACTATGCAGCTTCAGCAGCAACAAATACTTCAAAAACAACTACAGCAACAACAATTGCAACAACAACAACAATTGCAACAACAGCAGCAACAATTGCAACAGCAGCAACAATGGCAACAGCAGCAACAATTGCAGCAACAGCGACAGCCATTACAACAACAACCAAATAAATTCGATAAAAGTGCAATCTTGTCACTATATAGCTCATCTCAGCCATCTTTAACAGGAGGACCTAATATACATAACAGCACATATTTTACTACATTAGGCACTGGTTTTACATCTCAAAATCAGGTTAGCCAATTTGAATCACAACAACCAAATGCATTTAGAACTAATATAGCAACAATTAATTCTCATGAGAATATAATGTTTAATTCGGAACTTGGTGGTATTCAAAGTTCAACAATGAATACTTTGAATAAAAAATATAATTAAGTTCTTTTTATTTATATTATAATTTAACTATTTATTGATAATAAATAAATATAATTGTAATTTTAATTAGGAACTTAGAGTATTAATAAAGTTACAGTACATGTTTTAATTAGAATTATTTTAAAAATATTTATGCCTCAGATGTATTCTTGCGTCAGATGACACCCGGCCTAAGTTAGATTAGGGTTAGGGTAAAATTACGGTAAAGTTAGGAGTTTTTTTAGGCCCATTATTGCCGATCATTTAATGCTGGTCAGCCTATGGTCATCTGACGTGCGTCAGGTGCAATCTGACGCAGGTTTTAATCTGACGCACAACATATATATCAGTCACACGATTTGTCACGCAGATCACGGGGTAAATTTTTTTATATGTGATCGACATCTATATGAAAAAATCGATTTTAATAGTAATAAAAAATGTAAAAAAATCACGAATAATCGTTAACAAACATAGAACAAAGCACTCAAAAAAGTAAAATTTTTCAATGGTTTAACGTACCTTTAATAATGTTTTTTCTGTAAAAATAAAAACACATACTATTACTGGTACCATTATGAATATGAATACGAATACAATTTATAATTATAATAGACTTACCAGTTTACTAGTACAATTATTTCAAAAACACAAACTTTTTCTTGAGTAGATCTTGCCAAAAAAGAGTATATGTGGCAAGTGTTTTGATAATCTATAGTCAGGGCTTCTGCCAAGACTTACTAGAAAAAAAATTCCATGTAATAGTTTTACTATTGCTCGAGTTACTCAAGGTATTATTTATAGAGATTTGTATTACTATTTATAAATACAACATATTTCTCAAATAGGAAAAACAAGGATCCAAACTTATAATGATGTTAAATTGCAATGGTAGGCCTTTTTTGATCACTAATTTCAAAAGCTTTCAAAAAGAAAACTGTATTTATAGCCAAGTTTAGCAAATCACAAAAATAAGTACTTTTTTACAATTGAATTTAAAACAAGATAAAAAGCAAATCTAAAAAACATCACATCTGCAAAGTTGGTCTACCATCTTACTTATAATGCGAGAAATTACAAACTGCCTATTTACGAATACAAATCTTAAAAGTATAAACCCAACAACTCTTTTTTTGTTAGCTTTTTTTATAGTTCATTTATAATATAAACTAATAATTATTCAATTTACTTCAACTTTTAATAGATTCAACCTATCTTTAGTATTAAGAAAGGTATAAGTAATTACAAAACAGCTAGGAAACTTTTCATGTAAAGTCTTTTAACACTATATGTGTTGCCACTAAAATAGGTTGCTAATTATAGATCTGTATTTTTTAACATAGATTTTGCTTGCTTCTGGGTTTTACCAAGCTTTTATCTTTTGTTTTTTACCAATTTTAGTTTATTTTTCATTACAAGCAAAAAAGTTTCTCTAACTATAGAGTATGAGTGATTTGAATGAATTATCTAGTTTAGTATTATTAGTTAATGCTATATAAATCTATCTTTTTAATTTTATATATTTGTTATTTCTGATTTTAGAAGAGATTTGAGATTTTGCCAAAGTTCTACCTTTTGTCTTTTGCTGGTTTTGGGTTTTGTTTTTTGGCACCATACAAGAAAGTTTTGTCTAACTATAGGTATGAGTAATTCAAATAAATTATCTAGTTTAGTATTATTAGTAAATACAATATAAATCTGCTTTTTTAACCTTATATATTCGTTATTTCTGATTTTAGAAGAGATTTGTGATTTTGCCAAAGTCCTACTTTTTATTTTTTACTAGTTTTAGGTTTCATCTTTCTTTCATCACTATACAAAGAAGTTTTGTCTAACTATAGGTATGAGTGATTCGAATAAATTATCTAGTTTAGCATTATTAGTAAATACAATATAAATCTACCTTTTTAACCTTACATATTCATTATTTCTTATTTTAGGAATTTTGCTAAAGTTTTACTTTTTGTCTTTTGACAGTTTTAGATTTTGTCTTTCTTTTATTACTATACAAAAAAGTTTTGTCTAACTATAGGTATAAGTGATTTGAATGAATTATCTAGTTTAGTATTATTGGTAAATACAATATAAATCTGCCTTTTTAACCTTATATATTTATTATTTTTGATTTTAGAAGAGATTTGAGATTTTGCCAAAGTTCTATTTTTTGTCTTTTGCCAATTTTAGGTTTAGTCTTTTGTCACTATGCAAAAAAGTTTTATCTAACTATAGGTATGAGTAATTTGAATGAATTATCTAATTTAGCATTATTAGTAAATACAATATTTGTCTTTTTAATCTTATATATTTAGTTATTTTTGATTTTAGGTTTTGCTTTTTATCAGAGATTTGGGATTTTACAAAAGGTTTGTTTTCACCTTTCGCTAGTTTTAGGTTTTATCTTTGGTCACTATACAAAAAATTTTGTTTAACTATAATGTAGTATAGATAACTAGCCTTGTTATCTATACCACTTGACTTAACATATAAAGAGTAAAGAATATAATTAAAAAGAAAAAGAGATAAAGGAAAAAAAGAAAACTAAAAGCAAGAAATATAAAATATATAGTATAAAAATATAGAAAGCAAGAAGAAAAACTAACAAAAATAATAAAACTAAAATAGAAAGTAGTAAAAAAGAGTAATAAAAAAGACAATAAAATCAAGATAGAAGATAATAAAAAGAAGCAATAAAAGATAACAAAAAGGCAATAAAAGAGAGTATATATATAATATAACAAGTATATAGTTAAAAAGATAATATTTATTTATTAAAGTATAGTTAGGAGAATATAAGTTAGGATCTAGCAAAACTTATCCTGCTTTGGGCAAAAAGATGGTTTTTATATCCTTTAGAACTCTATATAAGAACAAATAATATTTTGTATCAATAGGTCTGTATCTATATATACCAATGAGTTTGTATCAATAGGTCTATACTAATGGGTCTATACTAATGGGTCTGTACCAATGGGTCTGTACCAATGGATCTCATGTCACAGGGTAACAGATTGTTATTCATTATCTTCTATAGTTACTATATATATCTTTAAATCTTAATAACTCATTAACTATTAACCTGATTAACAAACAGTAAAAACTATGCTAAAGAAATTGATATCAAGAATTCTATTGGTGTATTAGATTTGTACTACAATTAGAAGTTATACAAAGTTACTTAATAAAAATTTAAAAAAATACTAATATACTGCTAATATATATAACAATAAGTATAAGTAATTTGAATGAATTATCTATTGGTTTAGTATTAATAGTGAATGCAATATAGCTCTGTCTTTTTAACTTTATATATTTCATTATTTCTAATTTTATATTTCATTTTTTATTAGAGAAATTTTGGATTTTATCAAAGATTTGCCTTTTGTTTTTTGCTAGTTTTAGGTTTTAACTTTTTTACAAAAAAAAGTTTTGCCAAACAACTATAGATATAAGTAATTCAACTAGATTAGTTATTAATAGTAAATATGAAAGGATGATTTTTATTAATTATCAAAATTGTAGAATAACAGTTTAGATGAAAAATTCTGGCTCAGTTACTTGTCTTAAAATAATATAAATATCAAATTTTTGGTTATTATAAGTACAGTAGCCAACAAAAGTAACGCCTGATTTGCAGATCACTACACGTGAGCAAATAAAAGGGCTGTATTTACCCCAAATTTAAGTATTTTGGGGCAATTTTTTTTTTATTTCTTGCTTCTTTGACGTCGAAATAAC